TATGTTAAAATGAGATTGTATAACTATAGCTCTACTTACTGAGCCTGTAGCTCATTAAAGTTTGCTCTGTGCTATAGGTAAAGGTAAGAACAAAGCATAACAGTAAGCAGGGGAGTTGGCTTCGTTGACTGCTGTACATATGGTTAGACCGAAGAAGCTGCACGCGTATTATTTTGGGTTTGTAAATACATATATTTTAGAGTTAAACTCATAAACCTTGGATGACTGTATAATTATAATTATGGCTAGAAAACCTGATAAGAATTGTGTATTAACGAAATCTTGTGAAAGCAAAAATTTTGCAACACCATAATTTCTGCATAAATGAAAAGTGAAGGTTAATTATTGCGGCACATCATTAGGATTAATAATAAGTAAGGCTTAAAAAGAGATGGTATAAAGGGTGTCACAGTTCAGTTATAATTTTCAAAGCCTGCATAACCTAATGCTTGTTTACTTCATTAGTTTGAACAAAAATTTAAGTTTTGTGAGGAAAAAATACGGTATCAAAAAAAGTTTAAACAACAGTTTGAACTTATGAAAGAATGGGGCAAATATGGTGAAATGTTAGTCATTCAAATAAACAAAATTACTAACCCCCAATAAAATAAAATTCACAGAAGGTAGATGTATATGGGTGTCTCTATATATGTAAGATTATATACTCAATACTAGTGGAAAAAAATTTTCATTTTCCAGCTCCTGAGAAAGACGATGTATGTGGATTGACATGTTAGGTAGATGTATATGGGTGTCTCTATATATGTAAGATTATATACTCAATACTAGTGGAAAAAATTTTTCATTTTCCAGCTCCTGAGAAAGACGATGTATGTGGATTGACATGTTGCTGACTTTTTGTCCGTACGTGGCTTGACTCGACATTGGTTAGACTTAGTTACCTTAAATGAACATGTAACGATACTTCTTTTGGGTTCCACGTGATACCTCTATATTGTTAAAGTTAACCGTGTGGCTCAATATTCAATGTGCAAGTTTGGGCGCCTCTGAAATCCAGTAGTTTTACTCTTCACTGGACGCTTGACGTTGAATGGGGATGGTCCCCCGTGATGCACATGTCGATGGAAATAACTAATGGCCTTTGTTTGGCAAGATAACTTTATAATTATGATGTGCACAAGTAAAAATCCTGCGTGCATGTGCTGAAATAGAAAACAAGTCACATATATATATATATATATATATATTTTTTTTTTTTTCTTTTTTGAGAAAAAAAGTTATTGAATTAAACGTAGATAGATTGACTATATATAGCCAGATGGGTATTTTATTGCATTTATTCCCCTGAATTTGTATGTATTTAACAATTTGTCTGTTGAATTCTTAATTTTGATAAATTATCCTCTCAACTTATAAAATTGTTGCAAGATGTCCTATTTTGATGATGATTGGGGCACCAAGAGTTGGAAGTTTAATTAAGCTTAAAAAACTGATCTCCTATGGCATGTAAAACACTATATATTCTGAGATGAGATATGTATACATTTGAATATTTTGAATTTGAGTACTCTTAAGAAAACCATTTCGACTTTGATTAATGATTAAAAAAAAAATCTTAACTATCTTATTGGCATTTGAGAGAAATACATACACACGGACATATTTTGCCATCTTACATATGGATACATACCTATACGATGAAACCCATAAAAGTTTAATTTATGCATTTCAAGTCTTTTCGGCATATTTTTTCATTTTTATGCATTATTTAAGAGTGCACGCTTTATTCTTTGAAATTCTTTGCAACTCTTTATGCTCCCTTGAAGCAAGAACTTTTTTAACCAAGTTTTGATACTCCAAAAAGGAAAACAACCTTTGAAAGTCAGAAGAGCGAAAATGAAAGGTGATATTCTAACCTTCTATAACAATTGCCTAGCTAGTAGCTAGTTTGATCTCGTCAACGTTGCTAGCTAGTAGCTAGTTTGATCTCGTCAATGTTGCAACTAAACAAATTTAAGAGTATGGAAAGGCAATCGGCCCTAGGAAAGAAACGAGAAAAAAAAAAAAAACTGTGTCGGTCAGAATTCTGGGATCGCCTTGGGGCGCATCGTCGACTTTCATCTTGAAAATCATTTACGAGGCTTGTATCATTGTAGGCCTTTTAATGAGAGTGGTTGTGTTTGGCGGGGTGGCTTCGTTGGGTGGATTTGATTACGTTTAGAGGACGAAATTCGGACGGCTTTGAGGCGTTTTCCGGTTCCTTCCTGTCTGGTGGTTGTACTCTTCCGTGGTTTTGTTCCAACAATGGTGGGCTTCTTTGGGGGTAGTGGTATCGGCTCCAGATGTTAATGGTGGTGATACATGTTTTTCAAATTCTATCATTTGAAGGTGTCTCATCAGTTTCGCTGCTTGTCTCTCGAAGCTTTCTTTTTACCCTGATGAAACCTTTTGTCGGCTCAACTTTCATTGAAGGCTTGTGGCAATCGTGCTTTAGGATTTAGCAGTTTATGTTTAGTCTAATAAGGGTGTCGATATTTCTGCCATATAGTTTTAGTATTTTTATTGTAATAATGAAGATGGTTCTCCCACTATATGAATTTATTTTTAGTCTGCCAGATTTAGGTCATGGGGAGTTAGAAGTTCCGCTAGCTATGAGTCTAGGCAGATTCCTTGGTCGCCTTAGAGCTACAGTTGACATGCTCTCGATTGATTGAAAGCTCCCATCGATAGTGGTTTCAAAAAGAGCCTTATGCGTGCTCAAATTAATGTGTCAAAAAAAATTTTTATTATCAAGTTTCATCTTGCATCATCTTTTTTGTGCTTCATCAGAATTTACTAATGTAATCGGTTTTTATCGAGTATTTTATATTGTGTACTATAGAATTATCCGCATTATACTTGGTGTCTGTAAGACTTTTTAATTAAATTAAATTTTTACCTTAAAATACAATTTAAATTTTAGAGTTAAATTTATGAGAGGCCATTAAACTTTATTTTCTCTCTAGAACAACATCAATAGATCAAAGTTAGTTCATCTGTTAAATAAGTGGATGAAAAAAGTTAATTATAAGAACTTGTACTAAATTTTAGTCCTTAAAACTATAGAAATACGTCAAAGTTAGTCCTTTTATTAAATACATAACAACTAGATATAGATATCTTTCGCTCCATGCTAAATTATACTTCTAAATAGTTTTCTATTTTTCAAAAAAAAAAAAAGTGAATTTATTTTACAAAACGCATTTGGTAATATTGTTTTGGTATGTGTTTTTAATTATTCTCAATTTTTATTTGAAATTGAGGAAACTTTCTTGTGTTTCAAAAAATTTTAAGCAATTTTTTCTCGGAACTAAAATTTTTTGTTTCTAAAATAGAGATCAAGATTGAGATTACGGTTGGATTGAGGTTGAAACTATAATTGAGTTCAGGGTTGTGGTCAAGTTTGGGGTCGGGACTGATGGACTTGTCGTGATCATGGTTGCTATAGGGATAGGCCGGAGTTAAGGCCAATCTCGATTCTGATTCAGCCTCAACCATCTTATTAGTCCAAATCTTAAACTCGACCTTGTCCTCTAATCTCAAGTACAATCCTATCTCAACTCTGGCTCTGATCTCCGTCTGAACATAAGTCCAAGCCTCATTCTAGCGTCTACCTCCAAATAAAAAATTTAGGACTAATTAAAAAAAAAAAAAAATTCCCCCTAAATTATGCTTTTACAAAACTTTGTCTCTCTATCTTTAAAATGCAACATTCATTCCCCCTGAACAATAAAACGTTAACAAAATTACCCGCTCCGTTAAAAAACTTTAACAGTTTTTGACACGTACATGTCACATAAATAATAGTTGTTGCTAACCAATTTAGAACATAAGTACGATTTTACCCACACACCCTAATTTTTTTCCATCAATTTACATATAATATAATAAAAAATAAATCTTCTTCACTCCCAATGACACAATAAAAATCCTTACCAACATAATTCTTTTTTTTAAGGTGATTTTTTATTTTTCATTTTCTATTTTTAACGTAAAAAATATGTTCAAAACAATTTCATTAATATATAATTCCACTAAAAAAGACTCCTAAACTTTTTAACTCACATTCAATTAATGATGAATGTTTCATAATTTAAAGTCTAAATTTAAATTAATTTTAAATTCAAATTAAATTTCAAACCATAGAGTTATGAAAATATCCTTAATATAACTAATTAAATGTCAATTTCCATTAAAAATCTAATGGAGGGGTTTATTTGTTAATATTTCATTGTTCAGAGAAAACGGATGTTATGTTTAAATATCGGAGGGCAAAGTGATACAAAGAGTATAAGAGAATTTTTGTAATTAATCCAAATTAAAACTTGTTTTCTTGATTTAAGAAAACATAAAGCCAAAATAAGATAATCAAACTTGTTTTTAGAACTATTAAAAAAAAATTATTTAGAACTGGGTTAAAGCTATCCATTTAACATTTTCTACCTGTTTATTTCCTAGAAGGACTATCTATGGCACAATTCTTTAGTTCAGAGAATTCAGTAAAACTTTTATATTTGACGCTTTTTATCTATTTCTTTAACAAAGAGACTATCTTTGGCACATTTATTTAGTTCATGCACACAATTTGATACAACTTTCAACACAAAGATTATTTTTAGGAAGAAAAAAAAAAGGTTCAGGGACTTTCACGACTTTTACTCTAAATTTAATTCAGCCTTGTCCAAATATAAGGTTAATTTATTTGTTCAAATTAGCTACTCGTCAAACATATTCTATTTTCAAGTAAAAGGATATTTTTGTGGATTCACCTTTAGTCACTTGCTCGTCATTCATTTTGTGCCACAAGATCGATATCTAAAGAAACACGTAATGGCCTTAATAGGCTAGTATACTAATAAATAAAATACGAAACATACATCTATCAACGGTAAATACCCAGAATTAGAGTAAGAAAAGCGATAAAATTGATATGATATAATATTCTGCTAAATGTACATTATCATGAAGCGTGTGCGCTTATTTATACAAGCAAAGATATATGATTAAGGGTTTCCTTACATATAAGATTCACAAGGAGTACATATGCATCTCCATTTCTTTTCATGACCATATCCATATATTTTTTCACGTACGCATTGTGAATAGTACGTCGAACCCTCACCTTCAATCCTATATATAAGTACGATCAATATTCTTCAATTTTAAAAGAGTAATCACCCCCCTTGAAAAGACTAGTGTCTAATATCGTAATTTCACTTTTAATCATGAAAATCTCCTCGTGACTTTCCACAAATGGAGCCCTAACAATTGTTGCTCCAAAATTAACTAATAACTATAGTAATAACTTTTTTGCTGATTAATAACTATATTAATAATTAATTAATTTAGCATAATCATCTGATCTATGTCTTAATTCATCAAAATGAACTAATTCTGACCATCATGTGAAGAGATTTGAAGCGTGGGAGCTGACCCGAGTACTTCTAAGTCTTTTCCCGATTTGGGCTTTATCTCATGATGATCATTAATATTTATAATATATGACTTTTGCTCTCCAAGTTTGATTGTTTTGTTACCAATCTCAGGCGAATAATTAGGACTGCTCATTGTAAGATCAAGGTTTAAATCCGGCAGCAGCGAGGAGGAGTTTTCGTCGTCTTCCAAGCAACTTCCGCCATCTGAAACCTCGTGATCACCGTTGCCACCGTGGGGTTTCGATGGACTAATTTTGATGGTGGGTGATGAAACAATTGCACTACCAACAGTTTGGGAGTTCTGGAGATCATGATTTGGACGAGAAAAAGACTGATTCAATCGATGATTGTTTGGATCAATTCCCATATTTATGAGCTTTCTCCTGAGATGAGAATTCCAGTAGTTCTTTATCTCGTTATCCGTTCTTCCCGGTAACCGTCCGGCAATCAGCGACCACCTACAATCATTGATGTAATTTTAAGACGTATTGTTACGTGAGATATTAGTCATGCGCATTTAGAATATGTGTAACGGTGTAATTAGAGTACATATGCATCCATTATTGTCAACATTAAAAAAGAGAGGGGGGGTGGTTTTTTTTTTTTTTTTTTTTTTTTTTTTTTTTTAAGGTCATGTCCTACTTAAGAAAAACAAAAAAGATACCTGTTGCCAAGGAGAGCATGGAGTTTAATGATGAGATCTTCCTCATCTTCAGCGAAGTTTCCTCTTTTAAGATCTGGCCGAAGATAATTTATCCATCTTAGTCTACAACTTTTACCGCACCGAAACAGACCTGAATATCAATCAACAATATTCAAATTAGCAATAAAATAGCAACATATATATATATATATATATGATCAATACCCATTATTTATAGTTCTTAATTAAAAATATTAATCTACCAACAAAGTGAACCAACTAATTAATTACTAGCGGAGGCTTTTGAATTAACATGATATCTCTTTATGATCTCTATATTATCCTAATTCTTTTTTTTCATATGTATGTGTATATACATATATATATATATATATATCTGGGTGAGTATATGGACATATATACCTGCAGCCTTGGGAAGAGATCGCCAGCAACCCTCGCCGTGTTTGTGAATGTAATCAATGAGCTTCTGGTCTTCTTGCTTTGACCAAGCTCCTTTGTTCATTTCTCGCTTCTCACAGCAAGGTTTTCTCATACTGTGACAAAGTTAGTACACCACAATAAAGATTTCAATCCCTAGAAGGTAGCTATAGTAGAATTAAGAAGGATGAGATCGATATTATGCTTCTATTTGAGAGGAAAAGATATAGTTAGAGAGCCCAAGAACAGAATGGCACCGGAGGAGCTATACAGGTATATATTGGCATTTGGTCAAATATCCTCTAAAATAAGATCAAGACGGAGGGGGAAAAAAAAGAAGAAAAGTTTGACTTTGACCGGTTGTTTGCCGACGTGTTGCTGCGTGGGTGAAGTTGAGAGAGAGAGAGAGAGAGAGAGGTGGGTACTGTACTATACTATCATTGGCGTGTGACAACGTTTGTGTTAGTTGCCCGTTAAGTAAAAGTCTTTGTGCCTCTCTCTCTCTCTCTCTCTCTAAAGCCTTTGTGCCTGATCTCTCTCTCTCTTTCTCTCTCGGGCAACTAACACAAACGTTGTCACACGACACAAACGTTGTCACACGCCACAATGATAGTACAGTACCCACCTCTCTCTCTCTCTCTCTCTCTCTCTCTCTCTCTCTCTCTCTCTCTCTCTCTCTCTCTCTCTCTCTCTCTCTCTCTCTCTCTCTCTCTCTCTCTCTCTCTCTCTCTCTCTCTCTCTCTCTCTCTCTCTCTCTCTTCTCTCTCTCTCTCTCGTACTAAAATTCTCAATCTATCCATAATGTTCTACATTTTTTTTTCTTCTTCTTTAATTTGGTCATCGTGTATTATTGATCTGAATTCTCTTCCTGTTTGAAGTGATCCATACATATAATTAACCAGCTTTTTAGTAATATAGATGATGTCAAAGATTCCCTTCTGATTTCACAATATGGGCCCTCCAAAATGATTACAAAAATTAGAAAATGAAGAGTTGAATGGTAAACATCGAAGACATATACTGTTGTTTTGACGGTTATGGATTCAAATTATTTTTTATTTATGTGTATTTTTATAAAAAAATATTATAATAAATTAAAAAATATAATTTAAATTATGATATGAATTTTTAAACGCAGTGTAAGAGTTTTCTGATTCCCCATAGAGTTCGTACCCCATCATAATTAATGTACGGTAAACAATGTTAAGTTGTGGAGCTTAATGGCTCTAAAGATTATTGTTTTACGCTGAGTAATTCGTTGATCCACATGAAAAAGGGGTAGTCTCACATTAATGAGAACATGTATAATAATTTTACATCTTTATTTTGTCTGATTTCTTAAACAATTTTATTGCTCTTGTTAATATGGAATTAGAATTAGCTTGTCTATTTTTTATATAACACTACTAAAAAAAAAACAATAAAATACAATATTTATTAATGTTTCATATTCAATTTGTTGCTTGTGTAATCGTATTAATAAATATCAACACGGTCCCCTGCATGTGACTAAAGTAAGTTAATTTGTTTTTTTACAATTCCTGCTTAATTTAACAGCAAACTTAGGCTAAAGATATTATTTTCTAGCATCCGAGAAATAAAACACACGCACAAAAGTAATTCAAGCCCTTTTAAATATATTATCAACATCATGTGGAGCTAATTAATAGGGGATTTTGTTCCCATATTCCCAACAATCCTCCCTCGAAAGAAGTCTATGATCATCCATCAAGATCTCCACCGAGTTTGAGCGCCGCGTTACCATAGGATTTTTCATCTTGAGAGTTTATAATTTTTCACCAAAGATTTCTCATCATTGCGATCAACTTCGAGGGCGCCATCAACCTTCGCGCGTCCAATGTTCTTCAGGAGTTTATCTCCCAGATACTTAGGGTTATTCTGATGCAACTTGTTAGATTCTTGTGTTTTTTAGGATTCAAGCACAAGAAAATGATATTTTTAGAAATCTGAAAAAAATTTCTATATGTAACAAACATGATAATGCACGTTTTTTAAAAATCACATTTTCATCCATCACTTTTTCAAAATATGATTTTTACTGAATACGGTATATGAATAACTTAAGCCTTTTAAACCCATTCTAAATTCCATGTCTTGCCAGTGACAAACTTTATTCACACATTCCCAAATATATGTGTGTGTATTTTTACTTTGCTCCTAAATTTGAAAATCATGACTCTGCTCTTGAAGAATATTCAGAAATATTTTGCACTAATCCTCGTTCGGTAAAATCAACATTCCCTTCGAACAAAAAAAAAAAATATGTGTGATAGTAGAAAGGTTGAAAGGCTAATTTGTGTCTTTAAACATTTATTGTTAAAGAACATAATTAAATGAAAATACTTAAACTGATTGAAGTTCCAAGATGAAATATCTATTTTCACTTAAAATAAGTGGAAGATGCTTCATTGAAACCCTCAAATAGAAATCTAATAAGACAAATCCCTCCCAAAAAAAAAAATATTAACAATAACTAAACGTGCATTTATAGTTTTATAATTGAAAACTTCATTTACGATGTACGAAATTCGACAGTTGAAAGATGTCCCCGCTACCATTAGCCAATTAAATTATAATGACTTATAATCGTAACTTGAGTCCCTTCACACTTCAAGCACGAAGAGCATATAATGTCATGGTGTTGAAGTTTTGTGAGAGTTATTATGTGTGGTTTCTTGCAGAACTTCGATGAACTTTTAATTAATCATAAGTTAGAAAAGGGTCGTCGAATTTTCCGAGGAATATAACATTTTGATGAAAACTTTCCCTTTAGGATGTGGGTTTCGCAGGTACAATTTTTGTAACATCATAGTATACTCATGGAATATCAAAGTTCTTATTTATTATTATTATTATTATTTGTTAAACTAATAAACATGTTCTTCTTTTGTTATCGACGTATGCCGGTCGAATTTCAATAAACACGTGGAATCCCTGATGTGATCGAGAGGATCAATAATGGTAATCTAAATGCATTTTTTAATTAGTAAGAAACTATTACCGTTACCAGCATGGCATAGACTTTCCTTATTGAAATAATAATAATACTAAAATAAAATGGCTGGACTTTCATGCGAATTGAGAAGCATTAGCTTTACACCTGTGTCAAGATAGCGATAAAATGTAGATAAAAGGATAAGGTCAAACCCCAAATATATAGAAATCGGGACTATTGGTAATTGGTTTAAGTGGGTACATATTGTAATTATTCAAGTTCCTCATCGTACATATAATATAAAGTTGACCATTATGTTGAGCTGTCTAGATCGGTTTATTAAAAAAAAAAAAAAAAAAAAAAAAAGAAGTCACCAACCGCTTTTTCTCTTTCATGTTGATAATTATTGTTTTTGCTAGTTTTTAACTTTAATGTTTTTCTTTTCTTTGATAAGAAAGGTAAAAAGTGTTTCATAAAGATCACATACCTTTCCAAGAAAAAAGGTTGTTTCATAGAATCATAAGATAACATTAGAGGAGTTTTCTTTTCTTTAATCCCACACCTAACGATAGACTAGTAATTCTTGCAGGTGGCGAGTGATCTAAAGTATTTTAAAAAACTTAATAGAAAAATAAAAGAGAAAACTTTTTATTAATTTAGGGGTTAAACAAATGTTTAGTCCTCAACTATTGATCATATCCCATTTTGGTCCTAAATTTTAAAATGTCTCAAAAAGTCCTTAATTAATCCATTAAATAATTTCAAATTAATCCTTTTATCCAATGACTATTAAAATCTCAAAAAAAAAAAAAAACACAGGTTACGACCTGTTAATTAATAGTTATGTCTCGATATGTAAATTTATAAAAATAACTCTTATTAGACCGCACATGGCTCTCACGTGCTGTGTTTGTTGAGATTTTAAGAGTTGTATAAACAAACAAACAAAATTCAAAATATTTGAAACTCATTCTAAAATACTTTAAAAGTTATGGAACAAGAACTTGACCTATAGTTCAAGGATTAACAATAAGACTAACGGTTAATTTTTTTTAAGGAAAAAAAAAAAAACCTGACGTGTCGTTGGAAGTTGTAGAGGACAGTGTTTGAAAGTTCATATTTTTCACAAAAAGACGACTACAAAGGCTTTTTCCCATCATCAATCGGCAAAGTGATACTCGAGGAGGACTGGATCAGTGGATAATAGTCACTTGATCAAACAAATTTTGCGATTAAGCATTGAGAAGAAGCCCTCAAAATACGGTGGGTTCAATGAGTTGGGTCCTGTTTGATTGAGTTTTTGTTTATGCTTTCACTGAGAAGAAGAAGATAAGTATAAGTTGTAATTTTTGGTGAGTGTTTTGAACCATATTTTTAAAAGAGCTTATAATAAGCAATGAAATGCTATGATAAAATTTATAATGTCTTATTAAAACTCAGATATAAGTTATAAAGTCTATTTTAGAAGAGGTTTAGTGAGAAATCACATTTTGTGGCTTTGGTTAGAAACTCTTTTAGAAAATTAAAATACTTATGACATATCACCCAAATACTTTTAAAAGTAACTTTTTGACCTAAGAAACTAAAAATAACTTCTAAGAAGCTCTGCCAAACGTACGCTTTATGTGGTTAATTGCCAATTGTAGGATTGAGATTAGAATTAGTAGAATTCAATAAAGTTGTCGGGGTAGAGCTGAAAAATAAAGGAGCACCCGTTTTATTTTTTTATTTTTCTTACCTACTACTAGGAACTAGTTTCAATTGCGGGATTAAGTTTTTTAAATTTAATGAGTGTATATGTTAAAAATTTGCAATACATATTACAGAATTGTTTTAATTTTTTACTAAAACACGATTCTTACCGATGGTCAAAAGAATAGTTCATACCGCATAGGAATTCCAAGAAAATAAAAATAAAAATCTGTAGTACTTCTAACTCCTATCTAGTGTCAAAATTTGCAGGCCTATCTCTTTGATTATGCCTTCTTTTTCACCTTTAAAATGCTAAATAAGAAACAACGTAAACAAATGAAATTACAAAAGTTACAATGCAGAAAAATGTGGGTTTTCGACTTTGGACTGCTTGATGAGCACGGGGTTCACGTGTCCTCGATTGGTCCGGTCCATATGAAATCCCTCATGAAGAAAGATAAGTAAGGCCGTACGAGGCACAAATTCACACCTACCCTACCCATGAGATAATTAAAGAGTAAAGTTTTGAGTAAGTTCATTGGATAAGATCAATACAATGTCTAAATCAATAATGACTTTTTTGGGGGAAAATTAATTATTTTATGCGGTCATGCAATAGGGT